CGAAACACCGGTGCGAGAGGACTGAAGACAGAAGCAATGAATCAAGAAGGGGTTTCGTAGATCAGCTCTCTTTCCGCATCTCTTCAAGCATATGTTGATGTAAGAGAGTCAAACAGGAACCGGGGGCCCTTGGTGTAGCATCGTACTAGGCTTTCCTTTCGCAAACGACCATTCCAAACTCGCTTTGAGGTTCAAAGAGCTTGGGCAACGCGACAACGTCCGCATCTTGATGGGCAGTGCTCCTCACTGGTCCGGCGCACCGGAAGCCTTGAAAATTCTCCAGGCACTCCGCGCTCAAAGTAAGTCTCTTTGACGGCTTGCCCGTCTTGTACAGGAGGGTGCCGTGTTAAGAGCGACAAGCAGCAGCGATAAGAAGAGCATGGTCTGGGCATTCCCTCACCACCCCGGCGGCTGCAAAATAAACCGGTTTGAATCGGGCCTTGCAGTCTCGGTTTCTCAGAAGACCTCAAACCCTACAGCCTCCCAAAGCCCTAACCCTCCGAAAACCTGCAACCCTAAATGCAAAACCCGCTCGAAGCACTAGAAGCTCCAAAATCCCGCGGAAGCTCGTACTGTGGCAGCGAGAAGCCCTGAGCTTCCTTTTGAAAAATGGTCAGGCTACGGCGCCCGCAGCGAACTTCGACTCGACCATGAGGCTGCCCCACGAAGTGGGCTTTCGGTTTAGGGGTTGGGGGTTAGGGGTTTAGGGTGTAGGGCCTTGTGGGGTTTAGGGCTTTCGGATTTGGACTTTTACTTTATCAGCATCTGAGGGTTCAGCTAGGGCTTCGGGGCTTAGGATGGTGTAGGATTTAAGGATCTGGGGTTCCAAGAGTGTTAGGGCTTGACCATAGAGCGTCCTGAATCTCTGTTCTGATTCCCCATGGCGAGACCCTAGACCTGTAAAGCTCGCTTCCCTGAACGCACAGGTCCACTCACACCTTCGAGATTGCCGTTACGCCACGGGACCTGTTGCACATCGCGAACAACAGGCTTGGCGCTGAGTGGGGGGGCCTCAGGGCTCGGACAGCCCAATACCCCTTAAGCAAGGAATAGACTGCAAAGCAATGTATATTGCCATGTTGTGTGCTTACAGGTATGTTGCTTAATTCAGGAGGTCTCGGGGCACAGACGAAAGCTGGATTTGGGTAGTTGCAGGTACCCTTAAGGCTTGCTCAAAACTAGAGTTCCCCCTGCACTCTCCCAACCGTAGAGCAGCACGGGACTGTTTGAATCTTAAGTTTGGGTAGCTCGTTCAGTAGGCTTTGCAAGAGGTTGACGCGCAGTGGCAGCCTGGCAGTTTGCGAAGTGTGCTTCTATCTGAAGAGTGAAAGCGCTGCTCTGTGGCAGGCGCCGTGATGTCATGACCGAGTTTCAGCAAGTACTTCGTGTGCAAGAGCCGATGCTGCGCAAACTGCACAGGGATACTGGGTCGGGTCGTCGATGAGCTCGGCTGTAGACAAGGGCTTTCAGCTGAGTTTACCTGCACGGATACTCTTCCGTCGCCTGGCAATGTCTCAGGTGTCTGTGTGTGCGCTTTGCATAACCGTGGTGTCACGAACTGGATGTGCCAAAATCTGGAATGTTTGTCCGACATTCGTTGGTGGTTGCAGAGGTGGGTGGCTGAACAACAGTTGCCCCAAGCTGCTGCTGTCAAACCTAAATAAGTCGATTTGCAACATACTGTTACTTTACCAGAAAACTTGAGAAGCTCGCGTGTGTTTGCATGGTTTTCTGTTATGAGTACACTGCGAAAGTGGCAGCTGCGAGGCCTTGCACCCACAGTCTCCAATTTGTGGGATGACTGCTCACGTTTTCCCGGGTCAGCGCCGATTACACTAGTGGCATCAATTATTTGTAAAGTAGTCGGTGCCGTCGAAAGGAAGTGGCTCGTACTTTTCCTCATACACCCTACGTCCCAACACCTCTCTAGGCCGCAACAGCTCGAAATCCCAAACTCACCACCACCAACCGCACCACCATAATCCACAATAAATGTAACTTCATGGCCCAGGAAAGCGCAGGTAGCATCCCAGAACATGTGTTGAAATTGGCAAGCACCAAAGGTGCATCTCGGCTGGAGGGACGAAGAAATTGTGATGGAGTTCTGCGTAGTGCTGAACTGCAATCAAAATGTGTATATAATATATACATATCGATGTAGGTGCTTGTAGATGTAGATTCAATGTATATGTATATGTATGTGTATGTATGTACATATATGCATGCATGTATGTGTGTATAGAAAGAGCTAGGAGCCTCTGCCCCCAGGCTTGCGTCAACAGTCTGAGGCTGACGAGGACAATAACGGGTTCAACGGGATCGAGACCAGTGCGGTGCAGTGGTCATTCCGCCTTGATCCCCTGCTACGCACTTGATCTCCGACTGCCCTCGAAGCGATCAGGACGACGATGATGTCACTGCCGCCAAAATGGCCGAGAACCCAGTTCTCAAGTCGGCACGTGAGTCGAAAACGAGTCCTTTCGAGAACATTCTGCTTGATCACACATGTCGATGCCATGCATCAATCAGGCAAGCTACAGTGGATACCAGCATGGGCCCAAGAGTCTTCCAGGGCGGCAGCAAGGCAATCACGCCATCTTTAGTTGACCCTACCGAGGATTACAGACGGTAACTCAAAACACCCTCCAGCTACAAATACCAGTAGCTCAAGTCCTGCGTGCCCCATGTCTCAAAACGTGCAGCCCGCTAAAGCCCGAAGACCCTGCCACCCTAAGCCCTGAAGAGCGTAAAACGCTACCAACCCAAAACCCGGCCAAGGCAGGCATCCTTCCAGCAGCCACCCTCTCCGCCGAGGTCCAGCAGCTCAGTCTTCTCTAGACTTGCAGAGGGAGCTCTTCCTCAAAGCTTCTAATGTAATTCTGTTCTGTATCACATTATAGAAAATCTGAATGTGTGTATGTGCACGTTTATATATCTATATATGTAGAGTAAGTTTGTATATATAGAGAGAGCGGGTAGGATATGTCTATATATGCAGAAATACATACGTACATATACAAATACGTATACCTGTACATATACATACACATACAGGTACACATACACTCACACGTACATGCATGCATGCATACATACATACATACATATTTTGCTGAGAAGCCTGCAGGTATCCGCAACAAGGCGGCTACGGCGGTCAACCGCCCACGCAGAACTTCCAGGCGCCAGCCCAGGGGCTTCTCAGACCTTGTCGGAGTTTTGAACTGACAATGAGGAGCTGTAGGCTTTTGCACGACGAAGAGACGTCACTTGCCGTTGGACTTGGGAGTGACTGAGAGCTCGTGGACGTGAAGGGGTCATGGAAGTGATCGTGCGAATGCTTCTTCGCAGACCCCGGCCCCTCTTCTCAACCAGGCCGCCAGCTCAGTTGAAAGACATGTTGCCATGAAAGATGCTGCATTGTGCCAGTGGGCCGGGACCCACGCCTATGCAACAACAAGAAAGCAAATCGTTGCGGTCTCTCTCCTGTTGGCTGAAAATTTCTGAATCTGCTCTCTGGCGAAGAAGACGCACACATCAGCAGCTTTAGCTCATGTTGCAGCTTGCTCACTCGGAAATGTGTTTGTTGCCGAGCAAACTTCCAGATGAACTAAGGGAGCTCCATATGGTATGGGGGGCGCCGGCGGCATGCGACAGAATTACAGTGGGCAGTACGGAGGCAGCTTCAGATGTGTCGAAGTGCATGTGTCCATTTCCAGCACGCCCCTGCGCTGTCGTGAGGCTACAATGCCCGCGTGATGTGAGACGAGATGACCTTCATCTCGGCTTGTGCCGTTCATAGCTTTTGGCTTTTGTTTCGGGCATCATCGGGCACGTGCCGTGCGTCCGATAGGCCTTCCCACGTATAGCTCGTCGTCGAGGTTCGCCTTGAACCCTCATCGAGGAAGCCTTGGTGCAGAACCGCCGCAATCGCCCGAGTTGATGCATCGGACCGTTTCATCGCACCTGTTTCGACTGCTGCCCGAATCGCTGCGAGCTCAGATGGTTCAAGGTCAGCCTTGCATACGGTGATGAAGCCTGCGCAGTGGCAAGCCAGAAGTACCAACATCATCCTTAGAGGCCACAGTCTATAGGATGCATTCCATGCAACGCCCAAAATCTCGGAGCTTCCAGCTCCAAGACGCGCTGGCTTCTGAATTCGACATTGCGTACCATATGGATCTCGCGATCAAAAATCTTTATAGTAAAACATCGCCAATGAGGGTCGAAACGCTTTTCCCAAGGCTGCCGGCTGGGCGAACCTGCAGCACCTGTCTCAAGACCCATCGATGCTATCGCACCGGAACTCCTAAACCCTATATCCCCCAAGCCTTTAACTTTCTCCATAGCAGATCAGAAAACCCACACCCGCAAAAAAAAACCCAATAGCTCTGACAAAATCCTGTGCAGCCTTGCCGGAGAAGGATCTTGCAGCCGGGCCTCTGGATGCTAGCAACAGCGGAGTGCCAAAGAGCAGAAAAGGGATGAGTGCTTAGAGCAATACGGGGGTTGTAAAGGTGTAGGATTGTACAGTCGAGGATTTTGAGCCATGCTTCCCGATTTAGAAGATATCAAGACGTCTGTTCGTCTTTTGGTTTCTCAAACTGCCCTCACCATCTGGCACAGCATTCGACACGTACTAGTGTAGCCCCCTCGCCAAGATCGCCTCGACCCCGGCAATGAGTTCCTGCGCAGATCTGCGCGCTTACTGTCTATGGCTGGCTCTTTCTTGAAACCCCTCCAGGCATTCTTCAACCGTGGTCGGCAGAAGACTCCAATCTTGCTTTGAGCTTGACAATTCCTTGTCTAAATTCCAACAGCTCAACAAAGCTTTCCTCCCTCAATCAGTCGGCGGCAGGGACCTAGCCCTGCCGAAGCCAAGTTTTGAAACACGACACCGTGTAGAAGGCATCAGATCCTCCCGGGTCCATTTGTACCAGTGCACTTTCTGATACTGGGCGCATCCACTTGAAGCTGCCATAGCATCGTCCATTGTGCCAGCTATGTCCACGCGAAAGCGGCGGACCTGCTGCGGGCGTCGCGCGGCCACTGCAGCAGCACTGCTGCTGAGCGCCTCCCAGCGTCTAAGCCAAAGCCTGGTGCAGATCAAGGCCAGCCTACTAGAAACGATACGCAGCCTTCCAAGATGTTCAAAGCAAGGGGCAAAAGAGGTCACTACTTTCCTGTGCGACTGTTCTCTCCTCCCACGGTGATCCGTGCGAGATTGCACCAACGACGCGAACCTCGCTGCGGGCAGAAGGAGCTCCGCCACAAGGCCGAAGGGCTGGCAATGCAGAGAGTCTCAGAAGCTTCAGGGTGCCTGCTGTTTTAAAGCTTCTGTATTACTTGTTGTTGGACTTTTAAGGTGGATCAGAAATTTTCTGCCGGGCGCACCGGCTCATGACAATGCATGACGTCGAGGTCTTAGAAGTGCCATATCGTATGGATACTGCAGGCACAGGCACAGGAACAGGAAGCGCTTCAAGTTGCCAGGCCGGCGCGAGGAGTCCTCCTTGACCAGCGCCTTGGAAGCCGCTGAACTTTGGATGCCCTCGGGCCCCTCCTCCGACCTTCCAGGGAAGAGGAAGGAAGAGGCGCCAGAGGGGCCCCACAAGTCTCTGCTACAGAAGCGCACGCATGTGTTTGTACACCGCACACGCATGTACACGCGTCCTTCCTGCATTTCTGCAATAGCTGCGAGTTCCTGGAAGGCCTTCACAGCTAAAGCTGTCTTGGAATGTGCGGAGAGCGGGGATGGCCGTCGAGCTGCACGATGGCTCGAGCCTTGCTTTTGAGAAGTGCACGCCTTCGAAGCTAGTGTCACCCGAGAGTCTGGTTGGATCTTGTGAGGGACGGACGAGTCCAAGTAGCCCACGCAAGGTTCTACAACATCCTACCTAATCCCGAAGCCCATTCTCCAACAGCCCAGGAGGTTTTGCTGAGCAGGGGCCTCCTGGAGGAAGAGCGCCTCTACTGAAATGGTCCGCAATCCTGAACAAAGCCCAACCGCAGACGTACAGGAAATACACTGCAGGCCATTATACATATTCTACTGTATGTAGTTAGCATATGCAGCAATTCCATCGTTTGCAGGTTGCGTGGAAGTTCTTTTGTCTCCATGTCTCCCGTCCCCGGAAAGTAACCAACGAGTTCTCCGCAGGAGCTCCAGTGTGATTTTCTGTGCCGTGGCACCAGCTCTTGCACGGCAGGCCCCATGGGAGACGAAAGTAAAGTTGACGAGTCAGAGAAGACCGAAATCCCTGACAAGCGGATCCTTAAAGCCTTAATCAGGAAGGAGCCCTTAGCGGCATCGCAGAGACTATAGTCACAGTCATGCTGACAGCACAAGAGTAGCAGCACAATGGCAGGCAATGCTAACCAGAAGAGCACTAAGCCAATGCTTGCACTAGCCAGCGCTCGTAAACATCATGCACCAAGGCTACAAGGTAAACGAGCAGCAGCAGCAGCAGCAGCAGCAGCACCACCACCACCACCACCAGCACCACCACCACCACCACCAGCACCTGCAACTACAGCAGCAGCAAACCTGTCTATATAGGGCAGTGAAGCAGGGGCGGTGCATGTCGAAATTTGCACCTCGCTGGCCCTTGGGCCATGAGCTAAGAGCTGCCCAGGGCTTGGCCGTGGCTGCCAGCCGATACCTGCAGCGCTGCATGGACATGGGCCAGACCCCGGAGGCTCTGCTTCGGTGATTTGGGTGAGTTGTCAGTACTAAGGCCTCTCGGACTGCGAAAAAACTCACGATATGCGCTTCTAGCAACATGTAGCACAACACAGGGCACGAGTCTTGCCATCAACAACGTCTTTCTCAGATTCTCCCATTCTTACCAGAAACCCTGCAGTGTCAGAAGAACGCAGGTCACTTTATGTGGAGGGGTTGTTCTGCCTTCTGAAGGAGTCTGTGGGGTTTTGGCGGTATGGGGTGGGGCCGGGTAGGGAGCAGAAGACTTGCAGATTTGCTGAGGCTCAGATTTTCCGAAGAGTTCTTCTCGAGCTTGAGCAAGGTCGGGCAGCAGCACAGTAAATGTTTGTGATTGTTTGCATGGTTCAGCATATTAATATAGTCGACTAAACATATCATAGCATATGTTACAATGTGATATCATATAATATGATATAACACAACACAACATAACATCATACATCATAGAAATAGTACGACATGATATAGTATACTACAATATAGTATTATATATGTAGTATAATCGCTACCTTATCAGAACATTTGATATCCATACCCTGGCCATTGTAACCCTGCTGACCCCGGCGTGCAACAGGTGGAGCCACAGATGACGCGGATGATTTCGTATTGTTGCATGAGCACAGCCGGCCTGGTTAATTGTTGGGCTTCGCTGAATTATGCTACCTGAATTCCGGAATGTCAATAAGTGTTCGGAACTCTTGTTATGATCACCGCAGATGCTATGACGAATTTATAGAATGGTGAATGTATGGAGTCCACCGTGCAGTAAGCATCTCAGATTGCCAGGTCTACTGCTTCGGGATGACTGAAAGGGCTTATGTGCTAGTGTTTGCATGTCTTGCCATGGCGAGGCAAATGCGACTTGCTGGCCACCTTCCAGATCTCGACTGTTGCAAAGCTGTTCTGCGCAGCCTAGGCCTGTTTCGCGACAGCAGTAGTAAGCAGTCAACCTGAACAGGCCCCCTAAACCCTAAACCCTAAACCCTAAACCGTAACAGGCCCAACACTCCAAAACCTAAATGACAAGGCTCCTGGCCCTTGGTCCCGAAATGCGGGATCAAATTTATGCCACGTTTTGGAGGTGGGGCGAACAAGAGCCTGGATGCTGCGGTGAGGTGGGGGGGGATTCTTCAAATTTGGGGCACCGTTTTGGGATGTTTTCGGGGCCTGAAGCTAGGGCTCTGGATTTCTAGGTAGTATATGTTGTGAAGGTCCCGTATTTCTGAAGCTCTGAGGTGGGTTGAGCACGAGATGCCGTCATGTGGTGCAGCTTGGAGCAGTTTTGGATGAGAGTCTATCCTATCATGCCTGCACCTACCGCACCCAAGAAAAGGCGGCATCCGGTTGGCACCAATGGCACCTAGCGGATTCAGGTAGAACCCGACGACGAAGCTTTCGAAATCCTTTTCAATGCCTGTCGCCGAGAAGGCCCGGAGCTCTGCCGAGTTTCAGAGTGCGCCTGGGCTGGGCCTGGGAGCTCTGCCCGCCTTTTGCCAGGTCATCCTCAACGAGCAAGAGGCTGGCTCGAACGAATGAGGACCCGCGAGCAAAAGGTTGGAAGATAATTGTTGTGCGCAACCTGACGGCAGGAACCCACCGTCGCAGCGTCTGCTCCTGAAGCACCTTGGCCCAGATATCCTGCAGATCTATCTTGTCGGCGTTGCATTGGTGAGGCTGCAGGAGGAGCTTCAGTCAGAGGAGGCGGCTTTGAACTGCCACAGATCCAGGCTTTTCAGACCTCCTCCTTGCAGGTGGATGCTTTGGAGCTCTGGCTGTCAGAGCCAGCGCTACAAGAGCTCCAAATGTGCTGAACTCGGGACTCGGGGACTCGCCTGCATGGATATTTTGTTTCATGTCCTCAACTCTGGTGAGGTGCCGGCCTTTGGCCCGCCGCCTCCTCTCCAGGCTGTCTGCGACATCCCCGCAGCAAGCCGAGGCCTGGGGTTCTGACTCTGAGACGCTACACTGCTGCCGCTAGTCCTAGAAACCCTCCCCCGGCGTAGAGACTGGCGAGGGTTGTGCAGAATGCGAAAATGTCATCTCTCTCCGTCCGAGTGCACAGAGGTTTCCCTTGAGAGACTCGAATTCCGTTGATGTCAGGAGTGGCTCGACAGGCTGCTGTCTGCTGGCCTTGAACCCGACCGGCTCCTCGGTTTCTGTTCCGCTGTGGGCATCTGAAGCGCTTCGCCTGGGAGACGCCAAACCTGAGGATGTGCTACTCCTGCATTGCGGAAGCTTGGCTGGAAGCCGGCGACCTGAGCCGATCCGCTGCCATGGTGGATCGCATGGTGGCAGCAGGTGGGCAAGGATGTGCGCCAGGCCGGATGTCCCGGTTCCAAAGCTGCGTTTCGAAGGCTTCCTGCCATCGCGCGAAATGACGGCCGCTGTGCTGCTGTCCGGCTACGACAATGAAAAGCAAGATGTGACTCGGAGCAACCATCAGCCGAGAACGGGAGCACGAAAGCCCCTGGCTGAGGCCAGCGAATCGAAAGCCGATGCCCGTGTCGCAGACCTGGCGCAGACCGGTAGGGTCCACGAGGCACAGACCGGGCCCCAAGTCCCTAGGGCCCTGTCTTCAAGAGCCCCACAGCCCGAGAGAGACTCCAGGCTTAAAACAAAGGGTCCCTGGCTGCGGATCCCGAGTATCAGTATCATTCAAGGAGGATCCCGACTACTATTCAAGGAGTAGGTATATTCAAGGAGCCGCCCTTGAACCCTGCAGGCCGCACAAATTCTTCTCGAAGAGCTCGCGGCAAGCCGGGGGGTGGAGGCCTCCTCCTTCGACAAGCTCATCGCGGCCTTCGGTGCCAAGGGTTACCCAGAGGCCGCGCGCTCTCTAACACCCATAGTGGGGTTTGGCTTGTTTTCAGGATGAGAAAACATCCGTCATATGCCTAAGTATTGCATGCTGGGAGTGGTCATCCGAAGTGCAACTTGGACAAATGTTCTGTGCACATCAAGTTTCTTCGTGCAGCTGTGTCGAGCAACCGGCAGCCAACAGCTTGATGGGCAGAAGCATGTAGAAGCCTTGCATGTAGTTCTTGGCTCTCAGGAGGCCACAGAGTGGTTTCACAGAATGGCTGCCTGCGGCTTGAAGCAAGGCCGGATGCAGAGTCTAACCGTATGTACATGCATCTGAAGAGCATCCCAGCAAGAATCAGAAGGGTCTTGCGAGAACATATATCAAAAATAATGCTAATTTATTGCATGAATCGACATGGCACGAATGATAACAGCACCACTGGCTCCATGATGACACATCCGGACTCCGAACAAGACGGGGTTCTCGGCGAGCTGCTTCAGGACTTGACTTCAGGAGTTTGCGGTGGGAGCCATAGTTGCTGTCCACTTCAGCCGTTGCCATACCTCTGCTAAAAGGTAATGATGCGGACAAGGGAGTACTGCTCGACTTTTCATGGTCATGGGGGCATGTCACGGTGATGCTGGTGGTGCATGTCGGCAGTGGCGGCTGCGCGGAGCGGCTGCACCAGCATAAGCAGCATCAAAGATGATCTCCACATGCAGCCGTCATAAGTTGTGCCTGAACGTGTGTATATGTAAAGGCAAATACAAATATAAATAGATAGATAAACTTGTTTATTCATTTGTTTATGTATATAGATAAAGATGTATATATAATATATAAAGATATATAGAGATATACGTAGTTACACTCCAAAGCTAAACACATACTGTACATAACATGTACACATGTGTACAGACATGAATGTGTACACACAAACATTTCTTGTTGCTTGTTTATCATGCAAACATGCAATATAGGTAAGACAGATTACTATGACATAAGCTTGTGAAGCAGTGCTGAGCATGCATACAAACAATATATCTATATAGTTCTATATATATATACATATACATATATATATATGATTTATTTGTTTATGTATTTCTATATTTAATATATGTATGCACACATGCACATACATTTGCTTTGCCACACCCACCCAAGATTCGACTGGAGGATATACATACATACGCACAGATATACATACATACATACATACATACATACATACATACATATATATATATATATATATATGTATGTGTGTGTGTTTACGCATATATTACGTTGTGTTTATTATTTGTTCGCTTGAGGCGTCAAGGCGAGCTCTGCCTTAGTGACAGCTTGGGCCGTGAGCGGGAATCCCGCCAAAGCCGCGGAGGTTCTCAAAGAGCTCGAAGACCCTCGGGAAAAATGCAGATTTGGTCTTCATATTGAGGATGCTACTTCGTTCGGTCTATGTTGGGGCCCCTTGCTTCTCAATCTTCTAAATGGTATGAGACTCACTAGACGGGGGAAACACGACTGCTCAGTCAAGACACGGGAAGTACCTGCTGATGTAGCTGGCTGTTGTTGCGATTAATGCATCCACCGATCTTGATTTTGTTTCGGTTTTTACGTCAGAACTGCCAAGGATCAAGGCAAGGATTTGGACCAGTATGCCTACACAAGCGTCATCAGTGCCTTCGCCGATGAAGCGAATGCCACCGCCGCCGAAGCCCCTCGACACTGTTTATGAAGGCACAAACTCATATCGTCGTTTGTGTCTCTGTCTACCCGCACATCTTATCGGTACTTCTTTCTGTAGGTATTCTCTATCTGCCTGCCTGGCTGCCTACCTACCTACTTACCTGTCCATCTGTATTGTTCTCTTCATTGATTTCTGTCATATATATATATATACGTGTATGTATGTATGTATGTATGTATGTATGCATGCATGCATGCATGTGTGTATATACATATAAATATATGCCGCCGGACTTGTCAGCGACGCTTGACCTTGTTTGTAATTATTTGTACGGCTTTATTTATGTATGTATGCGCGGTTATACTGAAGGAAATTGTATCTATGCATTATACACCTACATGCTCCGTGAGGCATGAGGACTCGAAATACAGAAGGGATTAATGATAGCATATTCCGGCGGAGAAGCCCCTCCGGGAATTGTCGACACCGGGACGGAAAGCTGCAACATGGGAACACCCCTATGCCAGCGGGAGCACGCAGACCGGTGACACAGACCTCGTTTTGCGAGTCAGAGCCATCAGTGGCAGGATCATGTTGACTATCATGGCTGGTTGCTGCTATTCTTACTGTTACCTACATTGGCAGTCCTCTTGAGAGTTTAAGACTAGAAGGCACCCCAATCTAGACCATAAATGTTTGGATCCTTATATTACTTATTGGAAGGATCGAGAGAGGGGCCTCCACTAGCAAGGATTGGTTCAACCGCATGGCGCAACGCGGCTTCGACGCCGATGTTGCAGCCTCTTGGCTGCAGAGGGAGGGGCTTCCTAAATCGTAAGCGTCCTAGGAACAGTGGGAATCGTATAAATCGCAAGAATAGCAACCAGGAGAGCAGTAGTAGTAGTAGCAGCAGCAGCAGCAGTGCAGTAGTAGTAGTAGTAGTAGTAGTAGTCGTCGTAGTCGTAGTCATAGTCGTAGTAATAGCAGCAGCAGCAGCAGCAGCAGCAGCAGCAGCAGCAGCAGCAGCGCAGTAGCAGTAGCAGTAGCAGTAGTAGTAGTAGTAGTAGTAGTAGTAGTAGTAGCAGCAGTAGTAGTAGCAGTAGCAGTACTAGCAGTAGCAGTACTAGCAGTACTAGCAGCACTAGCAGTACTAGCAGTAGCAGTAATAATAATAATAATAATAGCAGGAGGAGTAGTAGTAGGATTGGGAGCAGCAGGAGCGGGAGCGGGAGCAGTGACAGCAGCAGCATTGTATTTGTTACATTGGCTTACTGTTGTCATGGCCATCGTGATCACAACAATGGTAGCACACTCGTAGTTGTACAACAACAGCATACGTTGTTCGTCCTTATCAGGACGTGAAAGTTGTGGCTCAGTAGGTAGAGCTGAGGCTTCCAATGCAGTGCTGAAGGCCATCGTTCAAAAGAACCTCAGTGCTGCGGAAAGCTGGCTCCAAGCCATGCCGCAGCAACAGTTGGCCCCGTCGCTCGGACGTGTTTTCCACCGCGGCGCTTCCAGGTAAGAGACAAACTGTGGCAGGGACCCTACTGTAGTGTAGAACCCGAAGAATTCTTATTCTAAGTCAGTCTAAAGGACCCGTGAAGCGAGTTTTCAGAAGCCCCATGTCTTTGAGAATGAAAGGACAGCTGTCTCCTACAACACTCTCCTGGGCTTCCTGGCAAAAACTGGCACAGACAGCAGGCTTCAGAGTGTAGGATGGGTTTAGGGCTTCGGGTTCAGGCTTATGGGCCTAAACCCTAGCTCTAAGCCCTAGAGCATGCTGTTTGCGAGCACACGCTTGCAAGCTCAGGCGGCCTTGCGCAGGCAGGAAGGGCGGAGGAGATCCGGACGTGGATGGAAAGGATGCAACTTGAACTGCAGGTAATGCGCACTCCAGATCCAGCCCCTCAAGCGTGCGTGCATGCATGCGTGCGTCACACGTTCGGTGCCGCTGAGCCACGGTGGCTCTTGTATTACCTCGGATTCACAGCTTGCAGGCTTAACCATGGGAAGTTGGTCGTGGAGATGTCTGTCATACTATGTAGATGTGCGCATATGCATGTATGTATGCATGCATGCATGCATGTGTGTATGCGTGTATGTGTGTATGTGTAATGTATGTATGCACGTATGTATGTCTGTCGGCATGTATGTACGTATGTATGTATGTACGTATGCCGTATGCATGTGCTCATATACATAAGAATACTCAACCGTAGAGTCGGATCGAGGCCATGTGTAAAAACATGCGACACCCTCGTTGTTCTGTCTCTCTCTCTCTCTCTCTTGACTATGTTTGGCATTGCTGGTGTTGCGATGACTGCTTTGAACTCCGTTCTGACAAGCCCAGCTGTTTTCAGGCGATCTACCCGGTGCCTGCCGGGGATCGTAACCTACAACGTCTCTTGGCAGACATGTGACTGTAGTGTCGGACTCAGGAGAGACGACATTCTGAGGTGGTCGGATTTTCTGAAAAAACAATTGGTGGAAGATTCAGACGACAACATGAGGAAGGAGCGCTCGAAGGCTTCGTGAAGTTCAGGGATATGACTGAGTGAATTATCAGGGTCCTCAGCCCCAACCGCTGATCTCTGAACTCATAGTTGGGGTGTTCCTTAGGTCCTTGGCCGCCGTCGTGCGGATCTAAGCGACCTTGCAACTTGAGGCCGTCATCCGTGGCTTCACCAAGCTCCGCATGCTGCCGCAGGTCCAGCTGTCAGCCTCGAAGGTTCTGGCAAGAGCATCCGCAAGAGCTTCGGGTGCTAGCGTTGCTGTGCTGGTTACGGTTGTCGGAAAGACTCCCAAACTGTCGTAGCAGGAGGGTTGGATTTCCCTGAGTTAGGCCTAATTACACGCGGGTTGTTCGAATAAACAGTAGTTACTAGAGCGTGCAGCCGCCTCGGCTTCGGCTGCAAAGCCATGTGTACTGAGTGTACTGCCCCTTCAAAAAGCTGTTGGGGCGCGAAAGTCGAAGACTAAGACCTCCGCGAAGTCGGACTCCCACTGCAGAGTGATAGCTAGGGAGCGAGTTCTTCCTGATTTGAAGGCCCCTCCCCCACATGGCCGGTCGGTCATTTCGGCTAGCCCTGCATCGAGGCTGAAGAGTGGCTTCGGCAACTGCAAGGTGTCCGACTGAATCCGGACAGGACGACCTACAATCAGTACACTCCTTGGTAAGTCCACCGCAGCCAGACGATGTGTGTCAAGTTTGACAGCTCATCACGGCACTGTCTTCATCGGTTCAGATGGCATGCATATCGTAGGGTAGGCCAACGGCATGCAGTCGCGTGTAGAGCTGTGGCACTCCTCTTTTTACCAAGGCTCATTCGTGGTTGCGCTCGGGACATTGAGGGCGCCAGCGGGTGGTCGAACACCAAGGATTGAAGCATCTCCTTGCGAGAGTGTCCTGCAAGCGCGAGAGATCTTAAGAACTGCTGAGGTTTGAGGAGATGCAGCTGCAGAAACTTGAGCCGGATGCAGTCTCGTACAACTCCATCATCCATTGTTGCGGGGAGGCAAGCACGAGGGGCACGCCTGTTTCTCGGGTCAGAAAACCCAGCCACTCTGTTCTTGATTGTCCGCAGCTTTTTGCCCCAAGCGTGGCAGACAAGGGCGACCATGATGCGCCTCAAGAGAGGTGCAAAAGGCTGCACAGACTGCCATGGGGCATGGCCGAAGCTTTTTTTCCGCAATCTGGTTTCTTGGCTCCCCCCGTACAAACGTGCATGTAGCTTGCAATGCTTGTCGTTTTGACGTGCATGTCCTGTTGAGTCGTTCCAAGGTTGCTACCTGCGTGTCCTTCTAGGGGCGATGGCACCAAGCCGTCATACCTGGATCCAAGATGGCTACGGCATGCCGCAATGAGCTTCACGCACTTGTACGACATGCCTGCGAGCTCTGAGCCGCTGCACAACGTAGCCTTACTTTGCTGGGGAGAAGTCATGGCATGCACCGTTGCGAGCATAAAGCGGTTTTGCAGGAAAAGCTCTGTCCGAGGTGCCATTCGCGGCATGCTAGGGCTGCCAGTAAGAACGGCGCTCAAATTCAGTCGGTGCGAAATTTCGGCGGGAATCCCAAATGTTTCGCTCTCCATGTTGTTTTCGATCCCATCATCCCGACAGAAGACGACAATTCAACATCGACTAATTAAACGCGAAGCTCTCACAAAGACACCGCCAAGCCAAAAAAGACTGTTCGCTAAGGAAGATGTTCTATTGTGGCGCAAGTCTTGCGATGGCTCCGATTGCGAATACTACAGTGTGGGAAACGGCTACTGCTTGATGAGGCCTCTGCTGTTGCTGCTCAATCGTGACCGAGTTGCTGCGCCCTCTTGGTGGCACTGCAGGACTTCCGACCACCAGGAGATGCAGCGTTTGCAGCTGATAGAGCAAGAAGAAGCCATGCTCTCAGGTTTACTGTCTTTTGCAGCTCTCGTGCCGGCTGGGCAGGGTTTTCCAAACTAGGACTGGCTCGTACGAGTACCTTCTTCCACCACCCCTGTTCTATCTTGCGCTCCGTCATTTCGGACTGAAGGTTGTGAGGCTGGAGAAGAGTGGCATCCGGCTAGGCCAGGACTGCGCAAAACGGATTCGTTCTCAAGAGTTTCAAAGAGTTTCTTCTGGGGTTCTCTAAATTGGCCTCTGGTGTCCTCCTGGAAATCCGAATAGGAACCCTCATTTAGAGAAGTAATAATATACTATAATATACTATAACTTACTATTATATATCCCCATGAGCTCGCCTTGCAGACCCCAACTCGGACTCGGGACATGCCCCTGATCCACCTGCTGCCTGGCTGAGAGCATACTGCTACGCTTCAGCACAAGGCACAAGGCAAGATCTACAAATCCCGAGAATACAATATATCATAATATAATACTATATTATATTTTATACTATATTATAGTATAATATAATGTAGTATAATATTTTATAATATATTATATTATATTGTAATATGATAGAATACACCACCCCGCCAAGGTATGGCTCATCCCATCCAACTGCCGAGTTCGGAGTTTGGGTCCGATGCCACCTCAAATATGGCAAGACCGTCAAAACAGGACGCTGGCAGAGCTAGTGCACCTTTCTGCTTGCGCCAGTCCTCAAAAGCCGCACTTGTCGGAATTCCGAGCACGGAGCTGCGAAATTCTAGAAGTTTTCGTAGCAGATTCAAGCTGCCCCCAGCAAAGCGTTGCTCGCCACATGTCCTTCCCTACACTTCGTTTACTCCGCGCTACACTTGGATCTATGTCGGACTCGCACTGATGTGAGGAAGTACCTTTAGTTATCTCCTTGTCCAAGCGCTCTCAGTTTTTTCTTGGGTTGCTTCGAGCCTGGCACTGGTGCTAGCTGATGCTTCACAGGACACTTCCTTCCGATGCGTGGCCGGTGGAAGTGCAGCTGTCCCACTGCCCAAAACGGGTTCCCGTGGCAATCCTTACAGTACCTTGGTCGTCTACTGCAATGCACCGGATGGCACACGCAGTTACGCTTTACAACATGTGTCCACAGGCTTCACGTCCTGCAACTGCCGCTCCCTCTGTCAGATACCTAAATGTGGGACTACCTCAACCATCAATTGGGCCTTGCAAATGGAAGGCAGGTTTCCAAGAAAATGTGACGTTGGTGCCTTGTCACCAGCAGCTCTCCACAAAGCACGCTAGGCGAGGAGGATCTTGATTCGCTGGTGCAGGGAGCCAGTCTGTTTTTGAAATACAAGGGTCCCCTGGCATGCACGGACAGAGCATAGGATTCAATCACGAGTTCTTTGCAAAACCGACCCCTCTCAGCAGGAAGCTGCATGTGTGCTGGAAGCTTTGCAGACAAGGTCCTGGAGAGTTTTCCGACTCCTTCATAATTCCTGAGTTGCAGCGTGCAGCCGCTGCTGGAGCCGTCCCGATGCTTGAACAGCACCAGAGATAGTTCAGGCTGCTGCGCTGAAACCGACCGGTATCTGCTATGCAAGGACTGAAAAGCTGGCTGGCTCAACATGGAGCTCGAACATGATGCATCTTTGACGAACAGTTCGTGTTAGCACGCAGGGAGAAGACTCATAAGCCTTGCTCAGCAGCACGGACTGACAGTCAAGGTACCGAGCCATCCACCGTTACAAACCGGGTGGCGAAACCTGAATGCAATACTGCTTGGCAGACAGCTGTGTTGCACAGCTAGAGAGCTAGAGAGGGAGGGCGAAGTCAACATCCTGTTGTGATGTAACGTCTGAAGGGTTTAGGGGATCCGCGGCCATGGGCAGGGCGGCAAGGAAGCCGGTCCCAGCTTACCGTTGCTGTGTGGGCTCCCGCTTTTAAATAGTTCGGCTATACTCTGATGCCGAGACGCAGGGTGTTCTGTTTGTCTCGACCTGTTGAAAACGAGCCCAACTTGCACAATCGCCACATCGAGGAAAATTATGATAAATCACTGGCTGTGGAAAGGGAGTTCGTTCCTCCGGCGCACCTTTGCCCGCGCCTTGGCAAGCAACCTTTCTTGGCTACTCATGCACTTGGTTTGCTTCGCGAGACACCGTCCAACTTAGGTTTTGCTGCTTGTATGGACATGGCCGTCAACACGTTGTGATGGGCAGGAATCCATTCGTCAGGACTTACGACGTACGTGTGCTGCACTGTATGCACTCATCATGTGAACCCGTGGGTCACGTGGTGAACTGAAGTGGGCTCTAGCGAGTGACAGGATGACGTCCTACTTTAAGTTCAGCTGGCTGAACAACAACGCGGTCTGGGGCCAGCATAAATGGACAGCTTCTGCCTTCCGCTCTGTGCAGAGACTCTTGGGAGCTCGAAGTGCGAGAGTGCGAGGACGAGATGGGAAGGCTTCGGCGACTGGCTGTCGACTCTCGACCACGGTTTTGTGAGCTCGGTAAGGCGTATAAGGCTGGTGTAGGGCATCTTGGGAGCGTGGGTGCAGACAGCGTGCAGACACAAGGCTTGTGATGGAAGCTCGCCAGTCCATGCCCGGCGGTTTCGCCAACGGCTGCTTTGGCTTGTTCTGAAACGGCTACAGATTAGTTCAAGAGAGAGCTCCGTCAATCTGAGGTCTCCAGTGGGCAAAAAGCTCAGTTTGCATCAGCATCCACTCAACAGAACAGCATAAAAGTCGTCCCAGGCTCCGACCATCAGGCAGTCCTGCCGCCAGAGCTCTACTCTGATACCTGGCACGGCTCTCCATCCTTTTCATTGTCGCCAGCTCAGCCCTTGTTTCGTATGGCCAGTGCCAGCGAAGAAATGCCCGCAGCCTTTGCGATAGTAATTCGTTGGAGTGTCTAGCGAGGGATATTGATGAAGTTAGGGCGCGCATACACTGGTCCCGAAAATTCTGCCAGCTGTGGAGGAATATTTACAATGCAATCCGGAACATGCACTGTGCCTACCGGAGCAGTGATTGCTGTGAACGACGCTTGCCTGGTAGCCTGAGGCGAGACCAAGTACTACTCTCTGTCAGCGGAAGACATCTTCCACATACGGCCCTTGAGTGTCGGCCTCCGAGCAGTTGGCTGCGAGGCCTCCGCTGGAGTTTTAGTGCCGCAGGACATGGTGCACGACGAACGTTTCCTGGCCGGATCTTCTTTCCTGGAGGATGTAGTGGCCACTTGGAGCGGTGTGTTAGCGCTAGTGAAAGCATCCGCCCAATCCAACCGACTCGGTGTAACATTCGTTGAGGTCTTACACCTGGAGACGCTGCAAGACGACATTGCGTTGCTCCGCGACACCCTGTGCAGGAGGCCTGCTGCATAGCCAGGTCACACTTGGTACCAACCATGCAGACCTGGAAGCTTCAGTCCTAAACCTCGCACATGCAGGTTCTCTTTCTGCACGGGGTTGCCGCCCTTTCCACAAGTCTTGCCCGGTAAGAACCTGCGGGACAGCATGCGAGACGCTTGGTTCAAGACTTGGAGCGCTGAAGTTGGCTCTTTAGTGGACCAGCGAAGTGCGATGTCAAACAGTAAGAGGTGCCAGGGGTAGTGGATGTGGATCACGCTTCACGTCCGGTTGACCCGTCTTGAATGTTGCTGTCGCAGACATTGCACGAGGCACCCTGGTCTGGTACTTGTAGGAGCACTGTGCTTCATGGCCAAGCTGTCAGGAAGGGGCGGTGAAAGAGCATTGCAGCTTCAATGAGAAGACGCTGGAGTGGCGGAACTGCACGGCTCCCGCATGGACCGAGAAACTTGGCGAGAAAGCAGAATGCGGTAGTCGTAGGATTGCAACCCTCCTTTTGAGCACCAAGGCTGTGGACAGAGTCCCTGCGACAGCAGATGGTCTGGCACTACGGGGACGACTTCAAATGGCTTGGGTATTCCACAGACCCTGGCCAGCTGATGCCATTGAACGCCCAGGAGAAAAAGCAGAGAAGTAGCTTGTACTCTGTCGAGTTGTTTGTTGCCACTCTATTGCCGCATTGGTGCAGCTGCAGTTGCATTCTCGACAGCTTTAGTCGAAGCGACCGCGGCCGGATCGGAGCGGATGGGAGCGCATGGTAGCAAGCGAAATACTCGAAAGCACGGCTTTGTGCTTTGTTGTTGGCTGCCAGGCAGCACAGCCCAAGCTGGCGCATCGCTGGCTCCGTGCTATGGAGCGCAGAGGTCTTGAGCTGCGGCCCCGAACACACCAGGGACGGGGCCTGCACAAAGTTAAATGTTCTATGATGCTATGATGAGTGTCTATGTGGACATATTGAGTATCTATTTGGACATATTTGGACGCATTGCATTTAGCAGTGTGATTAGGTTATGCCGCATCCCTTTCATATCCTTTATACTTCGGGTCGACTTATTATTGCGTCTTGTTGTTGCTACCGTACCACCATCCGAAGCCTACCCATAGGCCCCATAGTAGTTCCTTTTCGGGATTACCTTATAGGGTTCTACATATGAACCCCAAAAAGGAACTGCTTTAGGGCCTCTGGGTAAGCTGTATTTCCTCTCTTTGTCCTCTGTCGCCCCCTGGGGTATCCGAGGCCGGGGGTCGTTGCGTGGTCGTCGCTCCTGGCGGCTTGCGCAAAGGGCGAGGCTCGTTGCAGTAGGGTCCATGAGGCATCTCAGGGTTCAGGGTAGTTTCAGGGGTTTCATGTGGGGGTATTGGAGTTTTGGGGTTTGAGGTCCAGGGGAAGTTAGGTTTGATCTAAGACTGTTTAAGACTGTGCACATGGATTCTGTGCATCCGAACGCCGAGAGAGCTGCACGTTGCGAGGACAAAGAGTTGGGTGAAGCCTCCCTGCGGGAGATGCTGGACCGAAGGTGCCAGTCGCAAGCGCAAGAGCTACGCCTTTGATCGTGAACCTTAAATCTAAATGGGGGCTTCCGAAAATAGGGGACCCTAGTATAGTACCCTAAATAGTAGGATCCCTATTATCTCGACCCCAAATTATGGTACCCCTTATTTTCGGAAATTCCCAAATGGTAATAGCCGGATGCTTGTCATGAGGGGATCCCGGAACAAGGGAGGTACTGTACCTCTCGGAACCGAGTCAAGCCTTGATCTGCCTCTTTTGCTTTCACCGTCGGCGAGGCTCCAAGTGAATTCCTACACTCTCAAAGCCGTGAGGCGGCTGCCGGCGCCCCAGGGGGTGGCTTATTGACGACTAGGAGTGCCTGATTACAAGGCCATTGGTATTTGGGGTCTACAATGCTGCTTTTGTAGTGGTGTGTGTGTGTGTTGAGATCCACGGATGCTGTCGCGATGCGGAAACCGCCAAGACACGTTCAAACGATGAGCTTAATGGAAGACGAGATGGAGCACGCCGCGAAAATGTCTCAACAACAACAGACACGTGGTAGCTCAGTGGGTAACCTTTGGCCTCTTCGGGTTTTACCCAGACACAGTCACGGACCATTCTCATATTTCGGCTTACTTTAACATACCAGATGGAAAACCCGATGTAATGTCATGGAAAACATGTCGAGACCTCCAGTCTTTGCCCGAGGTAGCCCTTGACTTTTTCAATAGCCACCTTGTTTCCGATTGGACAACGTTTTACCAGGCGATAACAGCCGGTAGTGTCGAGGACTCCTACAACGCGTTCACAAGCATTTTTGAAGGTAGAATCTTCCAAACCTTTAGGTCCCTTAGCTTGCCGTTTCCAGCAAAATCTTTTGTTGGCCGTGGGAAGCCGAAGCTCGTGAAAAAACACCCCCACTGCCCTGTGGTTCCCGCAGGTCGCAAAGGAGATTTCAAATCCCAAGTAGATGACGCACCGCTTATTCTCAG